TCTGTAGAATAATCACTGGTTACTCAGGTTTATGAAGGTCAGTGGCGGATCTAGGATTTTTCTGAGTAAGGGGCCATCAAGGGGGCACAATATTCATAGAGAGGCCAAGGATTTGTTCAGCATTCTGGCACCCGAATCACTGGTTTTAGTAAGGTGTTTAYATTTTACCAGACACATGTGGAAACACTTGTAATGTCATGTAATTTTAAATAACTCGAACAGTAAATTATCCTTAGTCAAGACTTCTGGTGCTCAGTGTAAATAGAAAACAAAATAAAGATAATGGAAGTTTCAGTTATGATCTCAGAAAAGTTCAGGTTAAAGTCTGGTTTTCAGTGCTCTGCCTTCAATGTTACGTTTTATTAACCCCAAGAATTTAGTCAAACAATCTTCAAATGGCTAGAAATGGCTTTTGARTAGATCTTTTACAACATTTTCCGGGGAAGCATACCCCTGGACCCCCCCTAGAACTGCTTCACTCCACAGCTGCTCGTTAACGTGAACAGGTGTTCCTCGTTGCTGCCAGCAGATGTCGGCAGGTATGAGGTAAACCTCTATTCCATGTTTTTATCAAACTTCTTAAGTTACTCTGAAGAATGCTGTTAAGAATGGACTTAAATGTAAAAAAAATAGCTAAAAGCTGAGACTAAAAGTCAGTTATCAAGCATCTCAGTCTAACTTCAAGAAGTGTAAGAGTAAATCTTAATTGTCAGTCTTAAAGCTGATTTACAACACTTTGCTGTGCCGCAAAGCTGATCCTGGATGATGTTGTTAAAACAACACACAGGCATGGACCAATCACTGCCTCAGATTTCATGTTCAAGATTCTGAGAAATGTCAAGATAAAACTGAAAATCCAAAGATAGGTTCACATTTGACACAATAAAGTCCATACATGTCACGTTGCATCTGTAAATTACATAAAATTTCCTCATTTGCATCATGAATATAAAAAATCTTGCCGATTATTTCAAAAACTGCAGCTTGAATGTGTTTTTACATCCCAGTGCCTGAGGAAAGGTTAAGTTTGCGCCTCCCTCCTCCTGATTTTGCACTAAACTGCCAGAAGGCAACATCCCCTTCACACACACACACACACACACACACACACACACACACACACACAGCACTCCATCATTATCCTCTTGCTCTGAGACCCCCCCACACACACTCCATAATTTTTTTTTTTTCGGGAGAGTAAGAGTGATTCTTAGACTGAAATTTTTTGATAACTTGTTTTTACACAAGTCTGAGAGTAGGAGTAAATCTAAGAAATTTTCAACATTTAAGTCTCCACTCTAAGAAGTTTGATAAATAACGGGCCCTGATATTCTGTGAATTGAACAACCTGGTTTCTAAAGATAAAAAAAATCATATCAAAGAGAAAACTATTTAATTTGAGATGTGAATGGATATAAATTAACAGTGTGGTTTATAAAATTACACAAAGGAAAATCTTGCCCAGGGTGCTAAATTGGCTAGTGTCGGCCCTGGATAAATGAATTTAAAAAGTTTCAAATCTATTTTAAAAATTGTGCTCTCTGGTCTGAAGATAGCCATTGCTCATGAGCAAAAACACCTTCACCTCTGTTCCTGGATGTAAGATGAGAAATTGGGACATTTCTCAGGAGAACTCAACCCAAAAAGAAACTTTATATGGCAGTGACAGTAAATAATCTGAGTCAGCATTATGTAGATTGAAAAGATTTATCCAACCTTCATGATATTACCCTTTCCTGTTCCTGTTCACATAATGCTGATTGTGAAAGACTTCTCAGAAAGAAGGAATCACAAAATTCCCAAAACAAAGACCAGATGATGGGGGCTGTGTTCATGCACAAGATTAAAGGAAGTATACAACCTTTTATACTCTAACTTTCTGATGTGTTAAGCAGATTTATGACTAAATCAGTAACCAAGCACATATTAGGAGGAAGTTTTCAACATATGGATTAACCATGACAATTAAACAAGCTAATGTTTAACTTTCCTATCAGCAACAGCTTTACTAGATTTTATTTTGCTTCCCTGTTTAGAACTTTTAATGAATGAAACTTGTCCTTTTTTTCTATAAAGGGTTATTCTTTTTTGGTACCACTTTAAAATAAGGCTCCCTGGTGGCTTATAAATAGTTTATAGACAGGTTATTAATTCAAGTAAACACTTTTTAAATCATTAATAAGTGTTTTTATGCATTAATTAAAGATGAAAAAGAGCAAAAACTGTCTAGTTTCTTGCCAAATAGTGAGCCAAATCTGTTCATGTACATATGACATCTAAAGGTGCTTTATTAAACATTTCAGTCTAGGTTTGTAAGCACAATAATATATTAGAAACACATATTTTACTTATAATATTGTACTGTAGTATACATATCTGCAACTATCAAAGGGAGCCTTATTGTAAGTAAGACAGTACACAATTTAATAATGACTAATAAATGTGTATAAATGTCATAAGGGAGCCTTATAGTGTACTGTCTTACTCGTTACAATAAGGCTCCCTTTGGTAGTTGTAGATATGTGTTTCATGAATTGTAAATATTCTAAAAACTTGTTGCCAGTTTGTGATTGATGTTACTGACTGTGAATATCAAGCCCAATTCAGTTCAKTTTATTAATATGGAGCCAAGTCACAACATRCAGTCCGTTGTCTCAGGGCACTATACACTAAACAATCTGAGGAAGCCAGCAGATTGTGTTGAATCACCTTGTCTCAGTTTTCATCCTGAGCAGCACATTGGTGACAGTGGAAAGGAAAAACTCCCTTGTAACAGGAAGAAACCTCCAGCAGAACCAGGCTCAGGACGAGTGGCCAGCGATAGAAATGCAGCGGGTAAAATAAGTATTGAACACGTCACCGTTTCTCTCAGTAAATATATTACTAGAGGTGCTAATGACATGAAGTTTTCACCAGATGTTGGTAACAACCCAAGTGATCCATACATACAAAGAAATCAAACCATGAATGTCCAGAAATGAAGTTATTTGTAATAATGTGGAATGGCACAGGGGAAAAGTATTGTGAACCATAGCTATGTGATGTGAGTATGAGTCACCTGTGAACTATAGCCATGTGATATGAGTATCAGTCACCTGGAGGC